ATATGAAATCTCTGAAACTGCTCAAGAACAATTTTCATGGCTGCCACCTAAAATGCTTGTTTCAACTGAGCTCACAAACTTGCCATCATTCTCTGAATTAACTCTTATTTACCTTCTAAATGAGGATTATAAACCAAATATTGAAGTGGCACATGAAAATTTGGATAGATGAAAAATGTAGAACTTGAAAAAGTTTGATGGAAGATATAAAGTAAAAAATCAAATCCAAGAGTCATGAAGAGCCCAAGCTCTTTAACAACTACTGTGACTCATTTCAAAGATACAAAAATTTTGTGGGCACAGACAGAGTTCAATGTAGACGTTGAATTAAGCAAGCATATCTGAAAATCCAGTAGCAAGTCAAAAGCAACATATAACTAACTTCCTCCTGGGCTTTCTCAACACATGAGTTTTCTCACTTTTACCCTTCCAATTTGCCCCCCATTCCACTGGAGGGGAGTGAGTAAGCTCATTTGCCAGCTGGGGTTAAACCACAACAACACAACAAAACAGTATTTTAAAGCCACTTCTCTTAGCAAGACTGCTCCTAAACTTCTCTTTACAGCTGCATAGCAAATTGATATTATTTCTCCCCCTGCAAGATCAATTACACATCAGGATCCCAAATCCCTTGCCAGTCCAAAAAACTTAAATTCCAGATTACTCGTCTGCTAAATGTCTGTCTTCTACTGCTCTACAAGTATTTTAACTGAAATACAAGCTCAGGAAGCTAGAAATCTCTCCAGAAGCATAACTCAACAATAGCTCATCTCAAATACAAATATCAGGATAACTAGAAAGTTTACGTGGAGTTTTCTACTTTCAAGATTTTCTGCCATTGAAGGCAGAAATCTCATCCAATTGCTTCCCAAAAACATAATACTGAGGCACTCCCAAGGTCTTTTCCAACCTAGATGATTCTGTGATTCTGTAATACAAGTAGCAAATGTCTTTCTGATTGTAACACATGGTCATGTCACACCTCAACTCATTTCTTTTCTGATAAAGCAAAACCACCCTACTGTTGGAGAATGGCTTGCAGAGAGCAAGGCCATGGGTCTCTGCAGGAGCTGATTGCAGCCATCTGATGTAAACAAAGGAAAAGACCCAGGGTACAGTTATGCTACCAAAGGACTGTTATGTTAACAAAGAGAGAAACTGAGGTACACAATGGCCTTGAGTATGATGTTAAACAACCTTGGGAAAGAAAGCAGGCCAGAAGAAGGAAGATGTTGTGACATACCTGAAATGCCACAAGGGGCTGGGATATTATAATGTAGCCTTTTACATGTATCCAATAGATTTGTGAGTAGTATGCATGATTATTGTAGAGTGCTTATATAAGGTGTGATTTCTTTCAATAAAGTTGAAGCTTGCTCTATTATTCACATTGAATCGGCTGCTTGCTTCCTCCATCCTCCACAAGTGGTGCCCAAACAGGGACCTTTCCCAAGGTTGTTCAGCATCATACTCAAGGCCATTGTGCACCTCAGTTTCTCTCTTTGTTAACATAACAGTCCTTTGGTAGCATAACTGTACCCTGGGTCTTTTCCTTTGTTTACATCAGATGGCTGCAATCAGCTCCTGCAGAGACCCATGGCCTTGCTCTCTGCAAACCATTCTCCAACACCCTACCTGAAAACCCAGAGGCTGAACATCCGACACACTCAAATAAATATTCCTAACAATGGAGAAAAGAAATACCCCTCTTGCCCCTTCTGGAGGCAGGGTTACATACAAGCAGCACCATTAAGGAGATGAACACCTGAAATTTCTGCAGACCTAGTAACTCAACAGCCCCAGTGTCAATTGGTTCAAAACAACAGTATAAAGCATGCATTTGCCTGAATTGTTTGATTACATCTTAAAATTTATGAAAGGAAGAACAGTGATCATTTTCTCCCACCCCATCTTACAGAGGGGTACAGCAAGATTTACAGAGACAAGTAGTCTATAATTAAAAAACCCAGAAATTTATATATAAACCAAAAAAGTAACACCTGCAGCATTTTCTATTTCCCCTGCCAATACTGTTGATGTCTCAATCACATAAAATTAAATTAAGTCTAATCTTTGCTGACAGGTTATGGAATGTCAGAGAACATGCAGCTCACCTGTTTGAAAGAATGGTATTAGACACAGATGTTAATATCAAGAGAGAATTTGATGTTGTTACTTACCTGATACATTTAGGTGTGATGCTCAATCCCTGTACTTGGCCTTCCAACACAGACAGCAATGTCCTTCCACATATTTCATCGGTAAGTCTAGAGCATGCTTCTCTGCTAAACATCATTATCTCACTTCCATTCTGGCAGACAGTGTTTATACATTAAAGTAAATCAATGTGGCTCAGAAACCCAAATAAAATATCTTTTTTTTTTTTTTGGTCTCATTTCTTTCAAGCAGAAATGAGACTACAGCTTGAAAAGTAGATGTTCAACATCTGTGTAAATGTATTTGCACTGAACTGTTTATACTGCCTACCAAGAGCAAGTTGTCAAATTTTCAATCCATAATACAGACGCTGAATTTGTAGAGACTTTCCAACAAACATTTTCCAAAATTAACAGATATTTTGAGGAAGACACCAAGTACTCAACCAGGATGACTCATATGAAGTATAGAATTTCTTAGGACACATACTAATGGGTATACTTAGATCCAACAAATGTGATCCTGAAATGAAGTATCATTGACCACTCAATATCCATTATCACAGTGGATGTGCAGCACAGTCTTACTAAAAACAAGGAGGTCCCTTAAAAATGGAGGGGAAAAAATCCCCTCTTCTTTCTGGTTTTGATTTTTGAGTCTAGCAGGTAACCAGAGGAAGTCAGTAAGTTCATATACTGTTCAGTAGCATTTAGTTACATAAAACATAGACCTGTGCCTGCACAGTTTTGGGAGCTGGTATCCCATTAACTCATAAAGGAGGGAGTTGATTGCTCTGGACAAAATTTTAAGAGAACCCTCACAGAGAGTTTCACAGACAGCTACAAGGAAGATATTGTATACAACCACTTACAAGCATTAATACACCACTTTCAGATTACCAGAATTAAAAATCAGAATAATTTAAGAATAAATTGCATGATAAACTATCATCAAATTCTGTTTCAGTAAAATCATTTGATAGTCTCAAGAATAAAAAGGATGAAAGGATTGAAAACTGCAAGTGTATGTGGAAAAAGTGTCTGCTCCTTTAAGGGTGCCTGGTCAAGGACCTTTTCAATGCAAAAAAAAAAAAGGCTAAGAAGAGGAGGAAATCATAAACAAGAACATAAAGGGACACAAAACTGATGCACAAACTATAAGAGAGGCAGTGTATGGTGGGAGTATGAGAATGTTTATTCCAGCAAGATTATCTGATTGAGCACATCCTATATTGCGATGATAAGGAAAAGGAAGGAGATAAACACACAGATAAAAAACCTAACCAATTAGCATTAGCAAGGACAATAACCAGAAAAAAAAACTCACCACCTCTGGTCATTCACACCAATTGTTGGGTTACCAAGAAACTGCAGGATATATTGATTTTGGCTGGGAGAGAGTCAATTTTCTTCACAGCAGCTCATATGGTGCTATGCTCTGGATTTGCAACCAAAGCAGTGCTGATAACACACCTGTGGTTTAGTTATTGCTGAGCAGTGTTTACACAGTCAAGGCTCTCTCTCTCACACCGCCCCACCAGTGAGTGGGCTGGGTGTGCACAACAAGCTGGGAGGGGACACAGCTGAGACAGCTGACCCCAGCTGTCCAGAGGTATATCCCATACCATATGGTATGGTGCTTTTCTGGAGACTGCTGAGCACCTGCCTGCAGATGGGAAGTGGTGAATTGATTCCTGGTTTTGCTTTGCTTGTGTGCTTGGCTTTTGCTTTACCTATTAAACTGTCTTTATCTCAGCCCATGAGTTTTCTCACTTTTACTCTTCCAATTCTCTCTCCCATCCCACCAGGGGGGAGTGAGTGAGCTGCTGTGTGGTGCTTACTGGCCTATTGCAGTCAACTAGAGGCACAACACAAGCAAAATGGGACTTTGCAACTGATAAAGACTGACAAACCTCAGGGACCAGCATTGGAGGGAAAGGGTGAAAATGTGCCAACTGATGAGGCAATGTGCAGGGCAAGGGAGAGGAAGAGAGGGGGACTAGGCAGAAAGGCCTATAAAAGGGGTCAGTCAACATGCTCATCACAGCAGTCTGTTCTATCTTCTTAAGCCCTTTCTCCACTATCTCTGCATAACCTCCCTCTCTATGCTGTGTTTCTGTGCTGCAAAGACTAGGTGCCAGCTACAGAGCGGACCAGCATGGGTGGGACTGGTGCTAGCTACTGGAGTCAGACTGGGAGTCTAGGTGTCCCAGAACTGTGGTGCCAGCTACTGGAGTGCAGGGGTCCTGGACACTGGGGTGGGAATGGTTTATCTCCCAAAAATCAACTACTGGGGGGACTGGCATGAGTGAGACAGGTGTGGGGCTTGGTGCTGGCAGCTGGAGCAGGACTGGAGGTCATGGCCCATTCACCTGGTGCTGGCTGATTAAGAGTATCTGTGTGTTTCCCAAACTGGGTGTGCATGGGGTATGCGTCTCCTGTCAAACCTGAAGCTCGATGAGCCAGTGAGTATGAGGGCCCGGGTTAGGGCTGTGGTATTAGGCAAGCAAAGGGTCTGTGCTTATACCCAAAGGACCTGAGTATGGAATGCCTGTGAGACAAGAGTGTGAGGGCTGCATGCAAGCACCAACCTGGATGAGCCAGCAAACAGGGGACCCACAGGGCAGGTAAGAGGGTCAGGATCTGGGCAGGAGCACTAGGCAGTGCCAGTACTCGAGGGATCTATGAATGTGTATGCACCTGTGAACCGAGAGAGCACTCTGTGTGTGCCTGCATGAGTGTCCTTCTGTCTCTGACAGATGAAGAGGAAGAAGGGGATATGGCTGCCTGTGTTTTACAAGGGTCAATGTATGTAGATGCAGTTAAAGGCACGGCTTGTCTGTGACCAGCTGTGTCAGCGTCCTGTGTGTGTCTGTCTCTGGGACACAAGCTCAGCTTCACTGCTGGTTGAAACTGCAAGTGGAAAGCAGCAGCTACATCCCTCAGCCCAGGCCATACACAGCCCTGGTAGCCAGGTATTTGAGGCTGGGCTCCAGCAGCTGTTTGGGAATCCTAGGCCAGAGCTGCTCGATGTAGTGGCCACTCCTAACATCCCATAACAGTAATGTGTTAGGAGAACAAAGTGCTGGAGAGAAACTGGATTAGCGGCTCACAACTCTGTTTTGTCTTGGTAGCTTAAGCCACAACAAAAATTTTCTAGCATAAAACAATTGGTTGATCATGTGGAACCAGCCAGGGCTGTTAATGAGAAATACTTCTCATTCTTGGTGTGAGGGAGCACCAAGAGCAAGGTGGCTCCAGGGGTGAGGAGGAGCCAGGAGCAGAGGGTGGCCACAAAGCAGGCTAGGCAGCACCCCCACAGCTGGGGCACAGGCCCGCAGAACCAGGTGGTGACAGCAACAGCTCCCATCTGAAGCCAATCCAGGAAATCCAAACATCAATTCATGAACAGGGCTGGTCCCTGGCCCACCTACAACATGGCTTAGGGGAGTACACTGTGCCACAGCCTGAGCTGAAATAGGATCTGTGGGCCCAGGGACAGGGGGTGGGTAGGGGTCCCCAATGAGGCTGCTTAGGGCCATTAAGGCCCTGTATTGTCCTCAGGGCTCTGACAACTGGATTCACAGATGACAGCAGGTTTAAACCTGAGTAAATATTATTTTCCCTCTGATCAGCATGTATGTGTCGTATGTGTCAACTGGATGTAAGGGCTGAGCTGTATCCTTATATATTTAGGTGGGAACGGTAAGAAAGCACTGGGGCTGGAGAGACTTCACCTCTGGTGGTCCGTCTAGCCTCCTCCCCTCCAGAATATGAAATGGACATCTCATGGCATAATCCAAACCTGTACCAGCATTACTCCACTTTTATTTATTTTTTATTAAAAAAAAAAAAAACAACCAACACACATTTGTCTTGCAATTATAACTTCTGATCTCATTTTAAAAATAGCAGTCATGGAGCCCACATAGCTGAGAGGCCATTATTACTAGTTCTTATGCTGTACTAGAAAAAGCCATTTCCATCAGGTTACACAGAACGCATTTTCCAAAGAGAAAATCCAAAGACTTCGAAGCCTGCTTTTATAGTGCACACTCTATAGAATGTGACAGTTTTTCCCCACTCCTCAGGAGAAAACCCAGGACTATTTACCACATACCTCTTACCAATTAATTGCTGAAACATAGTGTATAGCTATTCACCTTACACAGATTTTCTGGATAACGGCCCATGAAAACTAACAGGATTTGGAAGATCCTTTCTGGCTAGTCTGATAGAAATGGTGGAAGAAGGCAAAGAAGCATAACATTCCCAGGCCACTACCTCTCCTTCAGCCTTCTCTTCACTATCTGCATCTGCAAGAACAGAACGTTTAATTGCTCCCTTAACCTGAATGCCCCTTGGAAAAAAAAAAAAAAAACACCAAACCACAAAACCCACAACCCAAAAAACATCACTTCTGACCATGACAACAGTTACTGTCTAGCAGAAACTCCCAGTCCCATTTGGCAGCAAAGACTCACTCACTATTTCTAAAACAAGAAGTTTCACAAGGTATTCAAAACCCTGTGGAAGACCAAAGGCTACATGGAACATGGCTGGATAATAAATACAATTGCACATGGAATAAGGAGGAAAAGACCTCAAAAGATAACCAGGAAGTAAAACAGGGGCAGTACTGTCAGCAAAACTTGGTCATGCTCTTGGCTGCTCAGCATCAGAGCCTCGATACAATCTCACCATGACACAGGTTGTACAATGAATGCTTTCTATCTAGAAAGGGAAAAAATCCACAGCTAACTTGCCCTTCAGTTCACACCAATCTACGTGTTCATACATGTCCTCATATGATATTCATTCTGTACACAGATGGAGACCTTCAGTGCCCACATTAACAAGGTAATTCAGACTCGTCCTCTCTGGGCAAGAATGAAACACAGTTCAAGCACCAACAGAACTACAGAGGTATGCTGGAGCAAGTCAGATCAAAAGATACAACCAGGTACAAACAGACTCTGCTGAGCCTTTGGTGTTCCTTAGCATCTGTTACACCCTGTTACATGCTAGCAGCCACAGGATGCTCCTCTGCCTCAGACACATTTCTGTGTCACAACATGCAGCAGCATCAAGCCCACATATATCACTGCTGGAGAAGTCAATCCAGTACCACTCCAGGAGGGCTGCGCTTACCTGCCCAGGCAAACACCAATATGTCAACTCTCCAGAGGGCTCTCCTGCTCCATGGAGGTATGACAGCTTGCTCGGAGATCTCTTGACTTGGAGCTGCATTGTCCAATACTGAATACACCCAGCAGCAGCTCCAGAGATCAATTCTACCTTGATGCTTGTCGACGAGAAAAAAAATGCTATGTTCCCTTCCCCATAGCTCAAGGCATCCCAAAAGCACATACAAATTTCAGTTTTGCTTCCTGTAATAGATATGCCAACTCCCCAGCATCTCTCTTTCATAGTATGTAACTCTTCACAAAAATGGCCTTCTGGATGAGGAGGTATTTTGAGTAATTTCATAAATATAAAAATAATGTCCATCTGACGGCTGCATCCAACAGCATCAGATGCAAGTACTCCAGCAACTCCTGAAAGTTTTTGGACGTCATGGAAAAGGCCTCAGGTAGGAAAATGACCAAGATTCCAAATCATTCAGGCAAGTGCTGGAATAAAATACTGAAGTGAAACATCCTCATGGAGCAAGATGAAGTGGACAATTCTTTTACTTACAATATCTGTAAGGAGAAAGAAAAAAATCCAGTTTAAAGCAGGAAAAATACTTTAAAATTACATCTGCTACAGAATGCCACCATAAGAACACAATGCTTCTACCAATTCTGACAGAAGGATAACTCGTAATATTTATGTCCTGGAGGGTCTATGAAGCCTTACTAAAGACTCTGTGAAAGCTGATACCAAAAAGGAAATATGTACAGGCCTATAACACTATACCCATGATATAAATCTTCCTTGTGAAATTCTTAGCGTCTGCACTAAAACATAACACACAGATGTTTTCAGGAAAAGCATACAGAGTTATTAAAACAGGATATAAAACCCTGCATAGGCTTCTGCTGGAGAGAATGTATTGTTTCTATAGTTAGAAACACTAGCTGCATAAAAAGCATTTTGGTATTAGAATCAATCTGGTGCTGAATGTAAGAAAGCCTCTGAGAAAAAAACCCACAACACGTCAGTAAATCCAAGTTTCTCTGCCAGAAACTAGGGGCTTTGTTTTAAGACTTAAAAAAAAAATCCCACCTCAAAATAATAATAATAAAAAACCCCCTTCAAAACAAAGACATGAAGACACCCATTATTAGCCAGTCTGAGTATTCAAGTTGATACTTATAAAAGGGCCTGGCTTAAAGGGTTTTTTTTCTCCCCCAAATGCCTAAGGCCTGAAGCTTACTGCCTAAAAATATTAATATTAAATCCTCAGGTACAGTAAAAACAGTCAAGTTACAAACAGACAAAACAGAAGATATGCTGTTCTGTTGAGACTACAGCAAACATCCCTCCTCAACTGGAGTTTGCAGGCAGAGCTGTTGAACTTACTGCACAATGCTTTTGTGGGATTGACCTGCTGTCCAGCAAGCAGCTGCTGCAGCTTCTTGATGTCTATGCGTGCCTCAGCCATGCTTTCCAGATCTCTGTCTTGAGCAGAACTTTGACAACCATCCTCTGATGCTAAAAGCATAAGAACACAACACTTAGCCAAAACATGAGAAGGAATTTCAACACCTACAAGGACACACCTGATAACCACTGAGCAGCTGGTATGCCAGAAACAGCAGTGCAAGGAAAAGAAAGCCCAGTTTTCCTACAAAGTTGTAAAGGATACAGGACGACATTCCCTCCCACAAACAAGAAACAGCCATTGGCCACTTTAATTTTTAAGGTTTCATTTGAAGACTTCAAAGTACTTGATACAATTTTGTAAGGACTAACAGAAAGTAATTACTGTTACCAGCATCACACTTAAGTAATGAAATCAGACAGACACAAGAGGCAACAAACAGGAAAACTTACTCCAGGGAGGATTTCCCAAGTCTTTAAAATGGGTCGTTACAGATACTAAGTCAGTTTCTATTTTCAAGTTCATTTCTCCATTCAAGTTTGCTTCAATCACCTGCAATACAATCATTCTCAATTTTAGGCAAGCCACTTTCCCACTGCAGAATGAATAAAGTGCAGCTTTGTACCAGAAGCACTTCAGTGCCCTCACAGCTCAACTGTAGTTTCTGAACACAGTTTGAACATTTGAATGTTCAGCTACAAAATGCATTTCTCATCATTCCTGAGTGAATTATCCTAGACCAATCTCCCTGAAATTGTGAAAAGAATGAAATTCAATTGCTCTTCAGTACTTTTAGGACAAGTACTGGCTTTGGTAAGCTCATGTGCTGAGGAAAAGGATTTAGAAATAAGAGACTGAAGAGGGAGAAATGCAAGTTTTCCTGCATTTCCATACAGCTTTTCAACAAACAGAAAAGCACCTACAGAGTCCATATGACACACACAGAAAACACGATGCATCAAGGTCTGATACGCAGTTGCAGTGTTGCTTTCCAACACTTAAAAACAGACAACAGCTGCACCAGAGCAGTAACTCCAAGCAGGACTTTGACCTGTTAGAAACCTGGAAAAGTTCTGAAAGTTTTCAAATTCCATCCTGACAAAATGTCCAACCAGAAGGAGACTATGTATGATCTTACACAAATCCCAAGCAGATCAGAGGATTCCTAAAGCACATCTAAGCCCTTCATTTCTGTGACTGGAATTTTCAATAATTTTAAAAGAGGCTCATATCACAACCAGAATCTCCTATAGAATGGGAGATGTCCAGAGATGAATGGTCAAGCGCGATTTGAAAGAACTTCTAAGCCCTTTTTGCAGAACTGATCTTGACCAGTTTTACTACCAGGATGAACCTAGCACAAATATTTAATTGTGGCACCTGATGGTTTTGTTCTTTAACAACAGGAAAGCATGTAGAGGATGCATGTAGTCTGCCTCCTCCCTTAGAGCTATCCAAGCTATTTCACATAGATTTATTTTCCTGCTTTGGAGCAGGAGGTAAGGAACATAAGAAGGTGTGTATGCCCAGTGTTGATATGCTACCTCTTCTCAGTGTTGCTGAACACCAAAATTCAATCCCATCATACAGCTATCCTGTGTGAGAAGAGATGCAAAGCAGTTATATGCTGTGCTTAGTTGTGTGTAAGCACCTCCACTGAGGACATTGGGGAAGGAAGGAGAGAGAAAAAATAAAATCCCCAAAAGACTGACAATGGAGAAGAGTTTGAAGTGCTTACTCTTGTATTTGCAGGATGACTGCATTTGCAAAATTGCCAGAAACCCAGGGTAATCTCTCAACTCTTCCAAGCCCTGGAAGACTGAGACTGTCCAAATTTCATTATTCTCCATTTACAGAATATTTTCCATTTATCAAAACTGGTATGAACATCACCAAAACCAAACTATTCTAAGGCTCTATACTTACCTATTAATTTTCATAACAGTCAATTCTGGTGACTGTGAGCAACAACTGAAAAAACCCCCAAACCTCTTTTCAGGCCAACTGCAGAGGGCTTCTTTCAATGCGAGGCCCAGCAGCACTCCAGAAACTCAGAGTGGACTGGAAACCCACCAAGTCAAGAGTCTAAAGCACAGGCTGATATGCAGGAGCTATTAGTAGGATTTCCTTTAAATCCTCAATTTTACCTGAAGTTCATTCACACAGACACCTAACATACTTAATAGGCATTTCTCACATGAAATCACCCAGAAAGTCCCCAGCTAGCTTCCCTGCAATTTCTTAACAGCTATAAAGAGTAGCTTGTAGCAACACAATGCCATATTCTTTCAAGGATTCAGTACAAAGAGCACCACTTTCTGGGAAGCCCAGAACAAGCTCTTCAGTGTAAATCCTAAAATAAATCCCATCACTTTCTTCAGCCCTTACACAGTCTTCAGGTGCCTTTAGCTCAATGTGTGACCCACACCAAAATAAGATACAATATGGGGGCACCAGTTTTGGCAACAGGGAAACAAGCTCTGTCCAAGATAAAATAAGGTCTGTAGAACACATGGATGAAGTGCCTTAACTTACAATGGAATTGCTGAGATTCTTCATTCTCTCCACAACACTCTTCATTGTTTTCAGCACTGGAAGGTAAATACTGACCTAGAAAGACATAATAACCACGTTTGCACAAATATTTTATGTGTCTGGGATGTGATGCATTCATTTCTCCTTTCAATTCTGTATTACTTTGGACTCAATTCTACTGAGTGCAGGGAACACAACACTTAACTGAAATCAGCAAATGACTCAGGAACAGTGGAACTCCTTCCCATTATACCAAAAGGCCATCACTCTAGCAATTGTTTCAGACATACTATCCCAAGTCTGTGTTCGAGACAGGTTTTTGCAGATCAGATTCTCACATGAACCTGTATCTGTGTTACTGAGCAGTTAATAGTTACTATAGCCAAAAAGGAAAGAACATGATTCCCACGGTACTGTAATAATTTCTGGGACTGCATCGGTATAAATCTGAAATAACAGAACAAAACACATCAAGTTTCTACTGTCTCGTGTCTTCCAAATTTGAATGCTCTTAGCTATAGAGGTAATGGACATCCATAACCTCAAACAGGAGCACATTTGCACAAAGATCTTTCATTGCAACTCTGCTAGAAGTCAAAAAAGTATACAGAGAGGATACATAAAAACTGGGTGGAAACACATATCTAACTCTGACAGGTAGGCCATCAATTTCAGAGAGAACAGATTATTTGGGCCACTTGGACCTGAACAGCTGAAATGGTCTAAAACTGTGGTTTGGAGGCACTCCTGCCTATGCCTAAAGCCAGGCAAGTCCTTTACTTCTCCCTTTCTGAATATCACAGCAAGAACTGGTAACCACCTCCACTGTTTTTACAGGTTCTGGACTCTCTTGTCAAGATGAAAGCCACGTCCCACCCCTCTCCAAACCTCTAGCCTCCAGTCTTCCCTTTTTCCTTTCACCTCCTCTCCAAAACCCAGTGGTAGTATACTCTGCAGTAATAGCATTCCACTTGCAACCTCCCCTTTCAGTAGGAATATAAAAAGAAGCAGCTTACATCGAAGTCTGGCACACTGGGCTCTCTGAAGTCATTCCATAATCTTCTAGGAATAACCCCCACAGGAATATCATGTGTCACAATCCTGCTGCTGCTCGATAAGGATGGCTTGAGGGAGAGAGAGGATGCTCATGCAGTTAAAAACAAGACTTGCAGTCTGAATTCAAATTTTTCAGACCCACTCTAGGAAATAATATAACTGAGTGCCCCAGACACTCAGTTCCAGTTTTCCATAGGTTCCTACTGGTCGCTATTAAAGGGACTTCCCTTATGAATAAGGAAGAGGTTGTTAAGTATCAGTCATTAGTATCTATAAACTACCCTTAGAGCTGAAGAGGTCAATCAGTGAAGGGGTATTAACAACAACAAAAAAAATTGGAAGCCAGAAGTGTGAAAGGTAATGGCAGGACGATCAAAAGCGGAAGCCAAACAGGACACTGAAACCTCCTTTACTTAGTGGCTTCAATGAGAAAATTTAGAGAATGAAGGAATGGAGAAAAGCAGAAATTAGAGATTGCAATGACACAGTGTTCCTCCTCCACCACTTCCCTGCCTTTGGAAAATACTGGCTGGCTCTATGTGCTACCAAATATGATGGCAGGAAAGGCTAGTGAAATGGAAAATCACATTTTTCTTTATTTAGTTTTCTAGAATTACACCAAAGACTACCAAAGCTTCTATTTGATCTTAGGAGAAGCACATTCTTTAAGAGCATTTTCTTAATAATGAAGAAGCATGGTTGCACTTACTAGCTCCACAGCAACTCTGAGACAGGGACAGTGTTTGTTAGTCAACTTGATCTTCACTGCCTTAGCACTCTGAGCAGTTTTTAATGCTCTTGACAGGTTCTCAGGCACCAACTCCAAATAGATTTCATTGTGCTCTGCAGCTACTCCTTCCATCTGAAATTCATCGAAGAAATTCCCCTAGAATTTTTGACAGTTGGGAAATAAAATAACAGAAATGGTGAAAAAAAAAAAAAAAGAGGGCGAGTTTTAACCTAACAGACCTTAAGCGCAGAACTGCATGTGTACAACGGGAAGCCTTCCTCTGCCTTTCCTACAGGAATCAACGCAGGCTGCATAAGCATGAAGGCCCACTGCTTCAGGCTACACCTATTAATTTCAGATCGCCCCCTAATACCTCAATAAACCAGAGGTATGAGGGGTGGGTTACACCTTCCTGCCTCTAGTTTTGTGCAGGCCCCGGTGGGCCAACACACACTCAAGCTTTACACTGACGTGACAACCAAGGTGAAGAGGATGTCTAGCCAGAAACAGCAGGCCTGCGCCGCTAACCGGCAGTCCTGCAAAAACAGTGCGCCGTCAGAGGCCGGACAGGCCTTGAGAGACTGGCGCATCTGAGGCGAGGGCTACGTGTACAAGCCGCGCCTCTTACAGCAAGCAGACCCAACCGCACGCTCTGGTTTTCAACGGCCGGTGGTTACTGAACTTCCCCGGGCTTACCTGGCACAGCTCACACCACATACTGACGCCTCCGTTCGCCACTTTGTCGGAGAGGATGAAATACAGCTTGCTGACAGTAAGGCGCAGGGTGCAGGTCTTGGCTAACTTGGCGATTGTGTTAATGACACCTGGCGGCGGGAGGAGGGGGGAGCCGTTACAGAGGTAACCGCTTCACACACCTTGTCCCAGGGGGACAGAGGAGAAACGTTCAGTCTCCAAAAACTCCGCTCGTGCTGCTGCGGAAACTCCCAAACATCAGCGGGCGAAGGAAGGCGCCCCTGGCTGCCTCACTCCCCGCGCGGAAGGGCCCTTGGCCCGCGGCCTGGGCCTCACGGCACCCACAGCCCTTCTTCTTCCCCTTCCCCGAGAACGGCGGCCGGGGCCGCTCGCCGAGGCAGAGCCGCCCGCCCTCCGGCCCGGCCCGGCCAGGCATACTCACGGCTGAAGTGGTTGAGGCAGGCAAGATCCACAATCTTAGCCCGAAAT